TCGCTGTTGTCACCCATAATGAGCAGCTTAATGGGCATGCAAAGCTTCAACTCAGACCCTTGACGTTAGGCTAATAGCCAATATGACATTAGGTAATCTTAGCGAAGGCGAAGGATGAGAAAGTTACTCATTACTTCTCACAGTAGCCCCTCGTAGTTAATCCATAGCTAATCACCGGTTCCCACAGATAGCAAACCAATTTGCATTCAAAACTGTCCCTCCGCTAAGTTTATTTTGAAACACGATGACGCGAAACATTGTCCCTATTAAGCTGCAACGAGAGACGTATACTTGGATTCTGTGTATGCTAGATCTGATTGAGTTTCAAGTTAAGTTAAGTTATGGTGGAGATTTCCATTCGTGGTCTCCTACGTCTACCTCGTGTAGTTGTTGACTCTATTTCCTTTTGGTAATAAATATTGGTTGGAGCAGCTCGCACGGTTGCGTTAATATTCAAATTAAGTGCACTTGTTTTTATTTAAATGATGAAGTGCGAGTCTATCTAATGAAACTTAACTGATTTGATCGACATCGGTTGTGCACAGTAATGGAAACTCAACTGACCTCCGAAGTAGCTAGCTGTCGCAGAAGAAAAGACTGTTGGCCCGATGAAACTAGACATGCACTACCTTAGTTGCCTTCTTAGAAAAAGAAAAGATGCAAAGCAGAGTCCAAAGTTTCAAATGCAAAATTCGTAAAACTATTCCATTTAATGCTACTAAATATTTTGGACTCGTTGACTGAGTAGGAGGGCCGAGGGAAAATATTTGCCTCTGTGTCATACGAGGTCCTACGTCATAACAGGAGCGTAATAATTTTCCGTCCCGCCCGACTGTATTAATTCAATAATTATTTCATCATATAAACACGAAAAGAGATTATAAAGAGGAAAATTTTCTTTATTTCTTCTAGTCTGCACAAGAAAATCACGATTCATTGAGAAACGAAATCCCTTTTTTTTCTGTTTCTTTTGCCACTGAGTGTGGGTCGCATGACTTTTTTCCGGATCAGCAGGGGCCCGTTTCTCGAAAGTCCCGGTCACTTAACGGGCCCGTAGAGCTGTTCTGTTTTCATTTATGATGAGGATTTCAAAAGTTTTGATTATGATACAATAAAACTATCAGCTCAAGAAACAAAAAGGACTTGTTTTGGGTGCCAGAACCTGCTTCCCTATCGCTTAAGTTTTGATTTTAAAACATGACTTCAGGCCCGTTAAGTTACCGGGACTTTCGAGAAACGGTCCCAAGGGCCGTTTCTCAAAAGTCCCGGTCACTTAACGGGGCCCGTAGAGCTGTTCTGTTTTCGTTTATGATGAGGATTTCAAAAGTTTTGAAAATAACACAATAAAACTACCAGCTAAAGAAACAATATGGACTGATTTGGATGCCAGAACCTTCTTTTCTATCCTTTAAATATTGACTTTAAAACATGGCTTCGGGCCCGTTAAGTTACCAGGACTTTCAAGAAATGGACCCTTGCTCACTTCAACAACGGCAGCTTTCATCGTAGTCTTCTATAGGATTACACAAGTGGGGCCGTACGGTTATATACACCGAGCGAGATATATGAGTTAAAAATGCAAACTTTTAGACTTGTAATTAGCTGAGATTAAAACCATTTTTACCTCTCTATTTCAGGTTGATTTGGAGAGAGTGCAGTTGAACTCGGACCGGATGGAGCACGCATAAGACTTTTACAACAGAAATGATTTTCAGTAAACTTGAATGGAAATGAAAATCCCTCTGAGAAACGGTACAAATGATATGTTGACTACGTTTGTGTTTATAAATTTGCTAATTCCCTTGGTTGTCTTTAATTTTTTCGGTGTTCAATACATCCTGAAACAGTTTTGCAAATGAGATCGACATTAGCGTGAGAAAACACTTTTTACTATTGTGATGGCTGATAGTTTTTAAATGACACAGTGACTTATAATTGAAGGAGGGGGTTATGCTTCAGAGAACTAGCTAATTGAATAATTATTTAGGGGAAAAATTCACAAGAAGCAAAGCAAGGTACAAACTCTGACGCAAATTTATCACTCTTCGATCAGAAAGAACCCGATTACTCTTCGATCAGAAAGAACCCGATTAAAGGTCTGGTTCAGATGAGGTCTATAAAGGTACGACAAGAATATGTACTTGCACGTGTCGGAAACCTTCAAACGTGCTCATTGTATTATCTCAAGATGATTGATATTCCCAGCAAATAACACCAGGGGTTTCCACCGATTTCATGCGATTCCCTTCGCTCAACACGACACACTTCCATGGCGTAAGGCACTCAACGTGATCCTTGGAGATGCCTGTACTGTCTCGTTACAATTGATCTACAATCATCTCAATCACCTAAAGGCTGACTCGGAATAAGTTTGTCGTATTAATGTTTCGAAATTCTTGTTCACCATATTTGATGATTCAATCTACCAAAGAACGCTCGAGAAACTGAAATCACATTTATCATTCGCATTTAAAAGACTGCTCATGCTTACCACTCGTTGTAGTCACAGAGTTGTAAGTCTCCTAATTACAACCTCATGACCGCTCCTTAGATTGCCTTTCAGAGTCGACTCAGTTAAACCAAGCGACTGACACGAAGTGACTGACAATATTAGCCTCCCGGTTAGCTCAATGGATAGAGCGCTTGACCATTGTGNCCAGGGGAGCTAACGGGTTTGTTTTTGGACTGCAGGCCGCTGGCTACCCTCGCCGGGCTTATTTTTGTTACCCAACATACTGTGCGATCGGCGAAGGGACAGTGGTCGTTTCAACCAGCCAAATTCGAAATGGGAAAGCCTATCGATCTGGAGATAAAAGTATCGCTAGTGAAAGATCTGGGGGAGGAATTGTGAATCGAGTGAATGGAAAATGGAACTGCAACATCTCTGCTTTGATTTTCTGGAGGAATCGAGACTGGTGGAAATTTTTTGGCGGAATTATTCGCTTCGGGCGACGGACGCTTCTAAAATAGGTTTCCGGCCTTGTCTTTCTTTTAGCAGTTGAACACCAACATAGCGCTAACTCGCCGAAAACGCTTCAAAATGGCCTGAGACGTTCGGAATCAACAAAGAAAACAACAAGGCAATAAAGTGAGCCCATTATATTTCAAAACAAGACATTTTTTTCTCTCTTTTAAGGCAAACCGATAACATCCCATACAAACCTTTAAGCTAAACCAAACAACAAATAAGTTCTAATACGAAGTGATAGATATAGCTTACAAAGTTAAACATGTCCCTTAGACTTGCAAGGACGAATTTTAAGGCGGTTGGGGGAGAGCTTAGAGAGCTTTTATAACCATTGTGACTTGAAGATCACATATTTGAAGTATTTCCGGTGGGAAAAAACCCTGTCATCTTTGATTTAAAGCATATTCCTTAGGGATCAACTCACAAAAGGAGAAGTTGAATTGCATTGTCAACCAAGCATTAGTGTCAAAGAGTGACGGGAAAAAATGAAAAAAAAAAACAATTATAATAATAATAACCACAGCGAATCAAAATCAACGCATTTATGTTGGCATGGTTATGGAAGGTCTGATAGCAGCCACAAGATCGCTAGTGTCTCGGAAGAGAACTAAATTATCTTGGTAAAAGAATATTTATCTCAGTGTTCGAAGACAGGCTTGCCTGACCGCTGAACCAATTTAAAACGGGTATTTTCCCTCTAGAAATAGGTGTGATGTAATGTATTCTTTTTTATCAAAACATGTGTAGATTACAATGAGACTTTAAGTGAGCAGGGGGTTTCCTCAAATTGCTATACAATCCATCTGCTTTAACGCCCTATTTATAATTAATCTTTTATGTTAGAGGAGCTGAGTTGAACACTGCCTCGTAAGTTGGTGATCGATTCTGTGGTTGCTGATCTCATTCTGTACGCTACTGGACATTTTCACACACGAAGGTTAGTTCTAGTTTGATTCGTTTGGATAATAAGTGTCATTTAATCACATAATAAACGATTACTTCAACAACAGCTGCCAATTAATCAACCTGCTTAAACAAATAAATGAACTTCAACTTCAACTTCAACTGTTCGACTATTTAACGTCCTAAATTAAACACTGCGAACCGACTCTCAAGGCGCGAACTTCCAGTCCTTTTTAATCACTTTTAAAACTTATTGTTGCAATTTCTCACGTTAAAATCCGCCTTTCCATACGCTTAGCCGTCACCCAGACGGTGTGTGGAAATAAGCTTCCTGGTGAAGATTCGTTGAATCGTAAGAAGGAACGGTTAAATGCATATGGCGCGAACATCCAGTCTTTTTACTCACTTCGGTCAAATGAAGTATCTAAAAGTTCCGCGATTAACACAGACAATATATCTTGCCAATCGTATCGTTGTGATCGATTTTTTTCAGTGCGAAGAGGTTCATCAATTCAGCACAACAAGCATTTGCAGTGTACATTTTCTATCTTTTGTGGAAGTTCTCGAAGATTCTCTATGCTCGATTAGAGCAAATTATAATGCAATTGAGTCCCGTTCACATGGGTTACTTCTTATATTGCCTTTCTAAATCCCACCACTTGCATTGCGATAATATTAGACCATTACCGGATAATTTCGCGTGGAAACCACCTTGTTTTTATGAAGTAGCTGTAAACAACTCTTCCAATCAAACAAGCAGCTTACTAGGCGGAAAGAGACAATAAGACTACATGCATGAGTGATCCAGGCAGTTCGCTTTGACGGAGGGCTACCGCTCAAAAAGTCAGCTTTAAAAACTTTTAAGTTACAGTGGCCAAGGTAAATTGTCAACTCAGAGTAAAACCATTTTGTCCTATGGTCATATTGCTTTTCCTTATGGAAGTGGTAAGGATGCAGAGCAACCTACCTCGTGGAATAAAGGGTAAAAGCCCTCCAAATGTGAAACCCAATAACCGCTTTGTTTCAATAGAAATCAAAGACAATTTAAACTTTTAATCCTGGTCAGTATTGTCAACCACCCGTTCGAACAACCGGGCCCTACAGGAGTACACATTTTATCCGCACTACTTCGCAAAAAGGTCGGCGGAATACCTGCAACACTAGCCTACCCGTCAAAGTCTGAAGAAAAGGTCTTTTGAAGTCACTTTCCAGTCAATAACCAATATCATGGGGAAACACAGGGACAGGTCGTTCAAGACAAAGAAGTAATTCATTTCCCAAAGGATAACAGCAGCATTTTTTAAAGCTGTCCATCCGATATTAGCTGACATCAGAAATACACCCCCTTACATAAGAAAAGCGCAGTCATGTGTAATAAGTTAAGCCTACGAGTAGCCTTCTTCCTTTGTCTAACTTTGGAAGGAACCGCAACAGACAGTGAATCATCATTACATTTCACCCATTCACGCTACCCTCGCTGCCACGAGAGATGTTTACTCGACCGCGACAGTATGCGAATGACAGACTTTTTCTTTTACGACCATGATGTAACGCAATCAGAGTGCGCTCACCGCCTGTTCGGTAAGCAGCTTAGCTGTGACAAATAATTGACAGCTTAGTGTCTGTGAATAATTGATTTAAAAGCAGATGTGAAAGCCGGTGCACTTTAAGGTACTAACATCTGGTCGCGGTCTTTCGAAAGTTAGCTAACGCGACCCACTGGATAAATCTTTACCCAATGGATAGCGCAGCACGTTTTGCTATCACTTACCGGTGGATGGCTATATATCCGTTGGATAACGCTATCCGTCCTTTATACAACTGATATCATCGTTAAAGATTCAGTGAATTCCACCTGCAAACTGATTGATATGACTGTTCCATCAGATAGAAACATTGCACTGAAGGAAACTGAAAAAAAAAAAAGCAAGTACAAAGACCTAGAACTAGAAATAAAGAGAATGTGGCATATTATGAAAACTGTAGTGATCCCTGTGGTTGTTGGTGCGCTTGGTAGAGTGAAGAAGGGTATGGTAGAAAACATCAAGAAAGGATCAGAGAGAGCTACTATGACAGAGACGCAAAAGATCTGCATGCTGGGATCGGCGCGAATCCTTAGAAAGGTGCTCAGTGTAAGAACAGCATGACTGACTTAAGTGACTGACGCTCTAGCGCTCTAGGTGCATGGTTTGCGCCCGGCTGATGCACAAAAAGAACACCAACAAAGACTGTGATAAAAGAGATGATAATAATAATAATAATAATAACCACAGCGAATCAAAATCAACTCATTTATATTGGCATAGTTGTGGAAGGTCTGATAGCAGCCACAAGATCGCTAGTTACTCGGAAGAGAACTAATTTATCTTGGAAAGAGAGTATTTATCTCAGTGCTCGAAGACAGGCTTGCCTGACCGCTGAACCGATTCAAAACGGGTATTTTCCCTCTAGAAATAGGTGTGATGTAATGTATTTGTTATCAAAACATGTCTAAATTAGAATGAATGACTTAGTGAGCAGGGGGTTTCCCAAAATTGTTCACTGACCCAAATTGCTATACAGTCTATCTGCTTTAACGCCCTGTTCATAATCTTTTATGTTAGGAGAGCTCAATACTGCCTCGTAAGTTGGTGATCGATTCTGTGTTTGCTGATCTCTTTCTATTCGCTACTGGATATGTCCACCTACGAAGGTTAGTTCTAATTTGATTCGTTTGGGTGATAAGCATCATTTAAGGAAGTAATAAGTGATCACTCCAACAACTGCTCGACTATTTGATGTCCTAACTTAAACACCACGAACGGAAAGCACACAACGAACCGACTCTTGACGCGCGAACCTCCAGTCTTTTTTTATTCCATCTTCGTCGCTCTCCCGTCAAAGCGTTTTATACTTCGCCAAATGAGCTTGGCTTAAGTTAAAACTGATTGTCTCAATTTCTCACGTTAAAATCCGCCTTTGCAGGCGCTTACACGCCGTCACCCAGAAGGTGTGTAGAAATAAGCTTCCTAGTGAAGATTCGTGGAATCATAAGCAGGAAGTTAGATGCATATATTTAACCAGGCCACAAATGGTATCGGAGCCAGGGTATGCAATTTTTTGACGAAAGCGTGTTCATTTGGTCCAATATCACGTCATCCAACAAAATCATCTAAGAGTTCTAGGATTTACTGGGACGGTATATCTTGTTACTCGTATCGTTTCAATCGAAACTTTCAGAACGAAAAGTGTCTGTCAGATTCTTCGCACATGTTACACGCGGACCCACGTGAAATGACACGTGTTTTAGCGATTCATTATGTAATGTTTTGTTTGTACAGTGGACCTTTGATCTAATGGATTGACATTTGAAACTAATTGCTGTACATTAACTTGATCAGTGCTTTTAGCGAGATAGGACATTCGTCGACATCGACATCTAGGTTAGGTTGTACTGTAAATAGGCGCAAATCAGATTAAATCAATTTTAATTACAGTATACGACTCGAAGTTTATTATAGTGTCTATCACGCACAGAAAGCATTCACATGGTACACTTTCCTACCTATTGTTGAAATTATTCTTTCGCGAGGGCTCTTATTCATATTGCCTCTCCAAGTCCTATTACTCTCATTGCGATAATTCTCGGTAGGCCATAAGCAGGTGAGGTCGCGGAGAAACCAATTTGCTTTTTATGATGTTGCTTTAAACAAATGTCTTAATCATATAAGGACTTTATACAATAGGCGGTAAATGACAGTTAGACTACATAATCGAGTGATCCAGGCAGGATCTTTCGCTCTTTTGATTGGCCATTAAACACTCGAAACGTCATCTTTAGAAAGTCTTTACGGTGGCCACTTTATATTATTAGCTTTGTTGATAAAACCAAATTATTTTGACAGAGGTAGAGTTCTGGAGGCTCTTAACAATTGTTTTAATCTTTTTCAGCCCACTTTTTGATGAATGGTCATGATTTCAACCACTATTTTTTATTTGGTGCTTTGAGAGTAGCATAGCACAAATCATTTGAGAAGTTCCTCATCATCAGTTAACACTTTAAAAGTGAAAGTGAGAGTGAAAGGGTTTTGACGCACTCTATGAGCGAACTATAATTACATCAATTTTTATTTTGAAGATACCAGCGGCTCAAGCTTTGGAGATTTTTCTGGAGAATTTTATGGTAAGATTCATTCGGCATCTTTTTTGTGTTAGATAAACGTGTGGTAGGTAAACCAAATACTGATCTAGATATTGCTTTCTAGCCTGCAGAGCAGGTGTAATTTGGGCGAGCGAGTGCTTCGTATTTTCTTAGCGAAATATAGCCGCAATCTTTGATTTTAATCGCAGCGGAAGGCTAGGGAGAGAGAGAAATTTGTAATAAGGGGATGAGTGACAGTCAATGATAAGAAGAGGGGCTGGGGTGGGGGTGAATATCACTTCCCACCCCCCATTCCGTCGACTTTGACACCAAATTAAACATGGCCGGTTGAATAAACGATCGCGCGCTTCTTAACTCACCCTAATAAGACCCCTGCACTGCAGGCTAATTGCTTTCTTTTATTCGTTGCATGCTTCATCAATCAATGTTCTTGTTCAAACGCGAAAGCTTCACTGAAATCGTATTTCGGTGCATGAAGAAACCGCTCATTAATTAGGAATTCAATAAAGCTGAAATGACTTATTTTCAAACGAAATTCTCCAATCCTCTCTTTAGCCGCGCCAAGCAAACCCTGCAAGGTTTTCGTCAAAAAGTGTGTGTTCGACGTCAATGTAAATGGAGGTGGTCCCGTAGCAGTCGGCACTCATGCTAACATCACCGGCGTCTCAGGGAGTCAACCAACGGGTACAATTTATTTGTGTAAATAGTAATTGATTTCTTATGTAACATTTTGGAAATATAAAGTTCAAAATAATCAACAAGGATACTCTGTTAACGATGCTTTCTACAGCGTTTTCAATTCTCTTACTGGGCCATTTCTTATCTGTTTCAGAGGAATACGAAAACTCGCCCTCTCCGCAGAGCCACGAAACTGATTCGAAGTCTTACTATTACACTAGGAATTATGAGGGAGATTATTGTCCTCACAATTATTATATACAAAAAATTGTGGCAGACTGGACTCCAAAACCACTCAATGGAATTCTTATCCAGGAAGGTGAGATCGAAAGAGCGGCTCCCAATACATTATGACTTTTATGGGTGAGAGAGTCTACAATTTGCTTATCATTTGAATTAACAGTTCTTTTCTAATCTTAATGTTGCACATTGTTATACTTTCACTAGGTGAATTTGATTTCCAGTGGTCTGTCGAATCCTTTCTTGAAAATCCAGAAAAGTTTATTCGAGAAATGGACACCTGTGCTGGTTCGCTGAGGGAGGAAAAAGAACTGTTCATACTGCGCGGTATTTTGCCATGCCTAGAGCAAGAAATGTGGGGCAAGTCGGGTTCTAACAACATTGATGTCTACAAGGTCCTTGCTCATGTAAGCAGCAGCCGAGGTAGCGGTGACATTGCAAAGCATTCTCTACAACAACTTCAGCATCTGCTATACAGGGATTGTATTCAGAGTGCTAAGCAAAATTTGTTGAGTGTGGAAAAGATACTACGATTAACAATCGTTTCCCCAGATGGAGCATTCAAGGAAGAGGCAGACTCAATACGACTTTCTAGGCTGAAAGTATACGGGTGCATTCTCTCGGAGCTGATCATCCACCAGAATCAAGCAGGGTTCTCTAAAATTGATTCAAAGAACAACTTGAAGCAGCTTCGGGAAATTAAAAACTTTTTCAGTAAGATCTCCTGGAAAAAGAAAGACATTTTAAGATACTCTATAGAGTTCATCCAGCAAGCCATTTCTTACCTTACGCAGCCCCTCAATAAGACACTGACTTCAAATTTAGGAAATTACCTCGAGGAATGCAAGAGATACTTTGCAAACTCTGGCATTTCAAATGAGGAGTTGTCACTTCTCAAAAAGCTGAAGAAATCTGGAATAAAATGGTGCGAGCTGCACTGTATACTTTATTACCTGCACGGGAAGGTATGTGTCTTCTATTTATGCAGAGTCCCAGAAATGTTTCTTTCGGCTGCTGGTTCGACCACGCCACCCATATATGATTATCTTAAAGCAATCACAATCAAATTAGAAATCAAATACTTTATTTAATAGTCAAAATATATATATGGCACCAATCAGACCATTTTGTGTAAATCAGTATAGGTGTTCTGTGAAACATAAATTTATAAATTTCATAAATTTCACTTTAAAAAAAGCAGGTTGTACCAATTCTGTAGGTCCACACAGAACGTCCGGAACAGGGAAACCAAGAGTGGAGGACCATGGACCTTCTAGATCTTGTGCTGAAGGCTCATCTCGATGGGGGAGGAGGAGACGACTGGAAGTTTTGTTTGCTGGCGTCATCTATACTATCAGAGATCGCAATGAAGAATGCGATTAAAGGTAAACATTTTCACAGGAACATGAAGCTGTCCAATACCGAGAAGGAACATGCTTACATACAATCCTTTCATGCAAAAACCGATTTGACCTCATTTATTCTGATAGACATAAATTCTTAGTAATTGCACTAAACGAAATAAAAATCTCATTCTATCCTTATTTAATTAGTATGAATTTATACAAGAGCCCCTAAGGCTGCAGCGATACTTTCAACCTCCCGAATTATAGATGATTGAGCTACCTGTGACCATATCTATATAGGTGAGGAATACCTACAATTTATTAGCCAAGCATTACCATGACAATATAATATACATTTTTTTCGTTCAAAGCATTGCGATTAAAGGCAAGTTCATGTCTGGATCATCTTCGTAAAAATGAAAAAGCAAGTAAGAGACCAGAGTGCAGAGCTATAATTGACCGCTTCTCTAGAGAGATGCTGTTTAGTCCTGATAGTTCTATCACCAGCTTGTTGGTAACACATTTCTATGACAACCAAACTGAGCAGTACACGCTTCCGACAGAGCTCCACAATCAGCACCTAGCGTCAAGTTACAGGACGCACAATTTGGAAATTGACAACGTGGTAACTACTGAGCCAAGTCGTGAAACCTCGCGTTGTTTTGTCAGTCACGGTGTATTGAAACGACAAGAAGTGGCGGTAAAGGTCCTAGCCGTTTCTAAGGGGGATCTCGCACCGAAAGAGTCATCAACGCAGTCGGAGGCGATGAAGCGACTACGTAAAGAAGCATACAACCTGTGGCAACTAGGCAACTTAGAGCTGAACCATCCAAACATCCCTTATCTTCTCGCTTACAATACTGTAAACCTTCCTCATCACATAATTACTCCATATGAAAAGTACGGCAATCTTGTCCACTTTGTGAGGAGCTCACGTGAATGCAGGCCTTTGTCTTCAGGTACTCTTTACAAAATAATAATTGGAGTCATAGAAGCCCTTCAATTCCTGCATCAAAAGCTAAATTTGGTTCATCGAGCTGTTACGGCAGAAAACGTTCTGGTTGGCGATGGTTACGTTCCCAAACTTGGTGGAATGCATTCCCTAGGGGAGCTACAACGCGGAGTAAACAAGGACGGTAAGATTGGTCAACTCTCAGAGCTGCTCATGATCTTTTTTATTCTATAGTTTCATTCAACTCAGACTAAATCTGTAAAGATAACTTAAGGCAAGTTGATCCCTTATTTGCAAAGACGTTGATTTCACAATTGGGAATGAAACATTTCAGTGGGGGGAATGACGCGCGACTTTCTACTCTGCTCTCACGTACTTAGGTAACAGTTCACCTGACTACGATTATGCCGAGAACTACGATGGCTTAAAAGATTTCATCGGCGAGGAAGATGAAACATTATCGGTGAGATACAAAGCTCCAGAGACTCTTTCAAGTAATCGCTATTCCATTGCGTCTGATGTGTGGGCTTTAGCAGTGTTTTTGTACGAGACGCTCACCTTAGGTTGTCGTCCATACAGAGGCTTACAAAAGGATGAAGATGTTCGCCGTTATGTACGTATAAACTATTGTATTCTTAATTCGAACCCTAACGGAATAATCTCCAAACTATTGTTGCTAATAGTAATACAAATTCAGAAGGTTTGTTTCATCTATTTCGGTCAGGAAGAAGTCTCAACGGCACCCTGCGAAACAATTTCCCGATTTTAACAGACGTGCTGTCTTTTCTACAAACACCTAATGTACTCAAAGGCACTGTCGTTACGCTTAAAAAAAATATTGATACAGGCATCTGTCATAGCAAGGCAGCGTACATAACAATACACATTTTAAGCTTACCGATTTCATCGTCATGACTTTTGCAGTGGTTTTATAACGTGTAAAAGAACAAAGGTTGAAGGACTTTAGCCCGATTGTAGCCATTTTAAAATATCATCTTAAAAGGAATCTGTGCTTCTACTTTTGCAGCATTGATGAATTAGATCTTCTATTTCTAGGTGATAAAGAGTGCAATCTTCTATTTTCATTGTTTGAATCGAAACGTTACACAATTCAGCTGTTAAGACAAAGCGTTCTCATGTAATCCTAAGGTTTTGCAAACGACCGACGATGGAATATTAGAGATATTACCCAAAGAAAGTTGCATTAAGGATGATGAATACAGCCTAATGAAGCAGAGCTGGGAAAAAGAAAGGAGTAAAAGAATCGACCTGTCTAAGCTCAGAGAAAAATTCATAGATATGCGAAAAAAGATAGCATGCTCAGGTTGGTGATGTTTTCTTCACTTTAACGGTATCACGATGAAAGCTCTATGCTATAAATTATCACATGAAAACTCAAGGAAAACATTTCCTAGTTTTGGTGACTATGCCGAAGCGTCGAACTTCCAACTTTCACATCATGAGCGGAAAACTAACCTCATGCATTCCACGAGCTTGATCGCGAACTTCGGTCGGTGAAGTTCATGAGCAACGGACAAAAAGCTAGGAGCGATTCGTCTTTCTATGTGGAAGATGGGGAGAGCGTAAGTTTTCAGATGAAAAACGCGCCGTTTATTGTGTAGCTAACCCGCAAGAGAAAGAGAAGGAAGGGCTGGGTGCGTAGCCAGTGTAAGTCAAATTTCAACAAGATTCAAATCAAATAATTTTTTAATTTTTTTTAACTTTTTGTGCTCGCTTTTTACTTTTATAAATATATATATATATCTATATAACTGCATATATATATATATATATAGAATGTGTGGTAGTCGGAAAAAAACAACTACAGATACATCCCTACAGACCTGTTGCGGTGTTTTGCGTGTCGGAATGATGAGGTGTGGTTGTTGTAGCGCTACTTAAAGTCGTTTGCAGTGAGCCCGATGTATGTGTCTGTCGTGCTGTTGTCTTTACGTGTAATGGTAGCTTGGTATATGACAGATTTTTGGAGGCAGTTTCCGTCTAGAGGGCAAGAGTTTTTCTGTCGGCAGTTGCATTTCTTGTTGTTGTTTGCGGTAGAGGTGTCGGTTGTGGCGGTGGCGTTAGTCTTTACGTGGGAGGTGAGGATTCTTTTGTTGTGGTTGTCGATGATTTGTTTTGTATTGTCCATGCAGCTGTAACTAATTTTGATTGTGTTTCTGTTGAAAATTCTGCGGAGCTTATGATCTTTGGGGAAGTGTTTGTCAATCAGCGCGAGGAATTTATGTCCGATGTTAGTGCTGGTGTTCTTGGTGAAAGGCGGGTTGTACCAGAGGATGTTGTTGCGTTGGCGGTTCTTGCGACTTTGTGTGTGCGTTGGTTCGTAGTGGAGTGTGTAGCTGTAACCACTGGTGTTTAATGCTTTCTGGTAGGC